TAAGGATGCATATTTATGATAGATCTATCGACCACGCCGCCTGGTAAAAATGGGCCACGGGCTTTTCCAGGTCGTTTGTGGCTCCAGAAGCTCGATGCTGATGAGGCACAAGGCCAGCTGGGTTTCCTACTCCACAATGGATGGTTTCCAATGGACAACCCTATGAAAATCCGATGAAAATGGATGATTCAAAATCCTATTAAACTAGAACATCACCATATAATAAGATTACAATGGATTGATGTGGCCGTTTTTATCCATGAGTTTCACCCGTGTTTCCATTGATATCATTGATTGTAGATGCAATTTTGCAATTGCAATGTTTTAAGTCATGTTTTTGTCACACTGGTCGTGGGATGTGGTCACAATGCCAGCACTACTCGTGGCCACCATGGCTGCCACGGCTCAGGTGTTGAGGCGACAGTGCGGCAAATCCTTCAGGCGCGGCGGCCCCAACGGCCCCAACGGCCCCAACGGCCCCATGTTGTGACAACCCTCTTTGGCCAGTGGTTTCGGGGCTCCACTTGAGGTGGGTTGCAAAAGATTTGATATTTCAGATATTTTAGTTCATGATAGATATGTCATTGTAAGGCAGTGTAAGGCAGACACCATGCTTGCGGAACTGACCAGGTCTGGAACGGCTGGCCTGGCACCCAGTTTGACCGTTTCTCCACCTGATTTGTATGATTGTTTGGCATTGCCTTGCTGGTCCCCGCTGGGTCTCCGATGATCCCCAGGTACAAATGGTACAACGAAGTCTTGAAAGTCGTGATTTTGTGTAAGTTCTGCAGATGCAACATGTGTATGAAATTGTATGAATGTGTATGATATTTCAGCTGCAGTTCAGTGGTCATCGCTGTGCAGACTTATTCCATGCAAGGGAATACGTGTACTAGTATGTCAAATTTCAGGCTTGCGCCAGCCTGAAGCTGATCCAAACTTCCAAACGCCCTGGTGCCAAGGCAGATCTTCCCCCCTCTCTTTACCAAAGGTCTCACGCATGGACCCAAGCCCTGCTTGATTGTGATGGTTTACTGGCCCATATATGGACGAAGTTGTGTAACTGCACATTATGTATGTGCTTTGTTTTGCAGATGGGGATGATGGGTCAAAACCTGCGAAGATCCCACTAGTGGAGAAAGTTATGGTAGATTTATTTGCCTTAGCAGAGAAATTCGAAGCTGAAGCGCTTTCCAATGTTACCCTTGTCAAGTAGATAGGGCTGTGTCCGAAATTTTGGTCAGTGCGGCACCCTGTCATGAGCCACTATATATAGTGAGACTGTTTACATGACACTGGTCCAATATTTGCTATCAGGGTGTTTAAACCTCAGCAGCCTCCAGGTTATGATGCTTTAGAGAACTTTGGAGCGTTATGTAATAATATGTAATAATAATATGTAATAATAATAATAAATAATAATAATATATATATATATATATTAAATGTTAATGTGATATATTGTAATGCAATATATATAATAGGATATAAGATGAACTAATACAACAACGTAAACTATAGTAAAATATAATACAACATAATGCAGTATAATATGACATCATAGAACATGATATAACATACTATAACACGATATAACACAATATAACATGATATAACATAATATGAAACATAATATAACACATAATATGACTCATAATGTCACACATACTATGAAACGTAATATGAACCATAATATGCAACATAAAATGAAACATAATTCGAAACATAACATGATACACTATGATATAGTAAGAGTTAAACTATTAATTATGCAATATAATTTAATACAATAGAATACTGCAGATTTCAGTTGGGTTACACACCCATAGCCATCTGGCACAAAAGCGAGCTGCGCACTGCAGCGTGGGAAGCCTATGGTATAGGCTGGGTTTGCATGGTAGCGTGCCCAGGTTCATCCAGTGCCGTGAACCGTGGCCGCACTGCTGTGGAGCAGCAGTTGGTGCTGGGCTGCAGGACATCGAGAAGGGGTTCCTGCTTGTGGAGGGGGAAGTGGATCCTGGTGGCCGTGGCGGTGATCCTAGGCTGCGGAGCTGGGGTACCCTTCGCAATAGTGGGATTGGTTGTTGGAGATGGCAGCCCCGACGATGGAGGATCTGGTCCAGGCAGTACAAGGACTACAAAACCAGGTTCAACAACAGCAGACGGAGAACCAGCTGCTGAGGGATCGGATCACGAACTTTGAGCTGCAGCAGGTCCAGCAAGCTGCACAGCAAGCGGCAGTATCGCCGTCTCACCATGGAGGAGGAGTCAACCCAGATGAGATCCTTCGAGCCCTACAAGGTCTTCCAGAAGCAATTTCAAGGATGAATCGCCCCAAGGGCCTCATAGATCCAAAAGGATTGGGAAAGCCTACGGTGCTTGGTGATGATGCTGATGCCAAGTTCCGGTTGTGGGCCATCAAGCTGGAAGACTATGTTGCAGGAGTTTTCGGAGGACGATGCCGAGAGGTATTGGAATGGTCCGCTGGCATGGACGCTGAGGTGACACAGACCGACATCGACAACAACTTCGGCATGGCGGCGGACCTCAACGACCAGTGGGACGAGGTGGACGAGCTCAACAGCCAGCTCTACACGGTGCTCAGAGCGACAACAGAGGGGAATCCCTTTGACCTGGTGGAGAATTGCCCCACAGGGCGTGGGCTGGAAGCTTGGCGCCTCTTGCACCGGCGCTTCGATCCCGCTACAGGGTCGAGGAAGAGGGTGATGCTGCAAGCCCTCACGAACCCAGAAAGGGCATCATACGAAAGCCTTAAAGCAGCCCTGGAAAGGTGGAAAGCCCTCAGGTCCAGGTACGACAGAAAGAAGGACCAGTTTGGGATCAGAGAGGCGTTGCCGGAGTCTTTGGCAATGAATGCCTTGGAGAAGCTGGTGCCCAAGGACTTGGAGACCCACCTGATGCTCAACTACACCCGTTTCAGGACCTTCGACGAGATGGAGCAGGAGGTCATCAACTTCATCGAGGCCAAGACGGGGAGCCGAATGGTGGTGTCATCCAACTTTGCAAAGCCGAGCAATTCGAATGGTCCTGTGGCTATGGACGTTGACTCTTTGGTCAGAGCCGTTAGCGGCACTTTGAGCTCGCTTGCAAAGGGCAAAGGAGGAGGCAAGCCTGGCAACAACCAGAAACCAGGCGGAAAATTCGAAGGCACCTGCGATCATTGCGGGAAGCCGGGGCACAAGAAGGCCCAATGCTGGCACCGAGATCCCAACAACAAGGGCAAGGCTTCATCGAGGAGTTCAAGTGCGAGCCCCAAGAAGGTGAGATTCGAGGGCAAATGCGACAATTGTGGAAAGGTGGGACACAAGAATGCTCAATGCTGGCAACCTTCTGGAGGCAAAGGTAGAGGAGGAGACAAGCAGAAGGGAAAGCAGAAGGGCAGTGCCAACTCTTTGGACAACCCTGAGCCTGAACCACCAGCCGATGCAGGAGGACTGGATCTTTGCACCATCACTTCATCCCCTACTCCGTCGAGGACTTCGAGGGTGAGCACTTCAAGGATGTCGAGGGTGACGGACATCCCCTACTTTGAGGAGGAAGGGGAGGAGTCGAGAGCAGCTTCAGATCGTGAGGCATCAGTGGCATCGACGGTCAACTCGCTGGATGAGGGGTGGATCAAATGCAACTTGGACACCGGTGCCTCAGTCACTGTCTTCCCGAGGAGGATGTTCAACAACGTGGATGAGCCCAATGACGTGCGCCTGAAGACCGCATCAGGAGAAATCATCAGAGGATATGGAACTACATCCATCAGGGGGAAGGACGAGAAAGGCATCGGGCGCAAGTTGACCGGCCAGGTGACGGAGGTGCACAAGATCTTGGTCAGTGCTGGAGCCCTACATAAGAAGGGATTTTCAACTTGGATTGGCCCTGGTGGCGGATGTATTATCCCCTTGAAGCATCCCATCAATGATACATTGGGAATGGCTTATGCGGCAGCGATTGGAAAGCATGGGGATGAGGGCATCATACCACTCTATGAGGAGAACGGAGTGTACAACTTCTACATCAACGACTTGGAGGACGTGAACAAGTTGGATGCCCCTGCAACACCTGATGAGGAGCCACCAGAGAAGAGGGCCGAGATGAAGTTGGTCCCACAGCCAACATTTGCACCTGCGCCTAGGGCAACTGGGTCGGATGCACCTATGAGGAGCAGATCACCAATGAGGCATCGACCAGTTTGTGCCGTGGAAGGCGATGATCCAGAAGGAGATGCAGGTGACGATCAAATGCAAGTTCGAGGTGATGAGGTTGAGGAGCCAGTGGAAGCCCGACGTGCTAACCCTGGCTGGACACCGAAGAGCCCAACAGATCGTGAACGAGCAGAACATGAGAGCAGTGGACATGCAGTCTACAGATCGTGGTGTGAGGAGTGCATCAAGGCCACTGGGATGAGCCATCAACATCGCCGCATTGACCACAGTGAGGACTTGGTCGACACGGTGACCATGGACTACTACTACATGGGTGAGGAGGACGGTGCCAAGCCTTACCTGGTTGCTCAAGACCGCCGCACTGGAATGATGATGTCAACATCCCTGAGGGAGAAAGGTGTGGCCGACTTGACAGCAACGAAGCTCTTGGCAAAGTTCTTGGACGTCCTCGGCTACAAGGAGGTGGTCTTGAAGAGCGATGGCGAGAGGGCCTTGATCGCACTGAAAAGAGCTGCAGCCCGACAATCAAAAGGGCTGGTCAGAGCAATCCACGAGGAGTCACCAAAGGGAGATTCAAAAGCCAATGGAGAAGCTGAACAGGCAGTTCGAGAAATCAAGTGGCGTGTGAGAGCCATCACAATGATGCTGGAGAAGAAGCTTAACATCAAACTTCCTGAAGGGCATCCTTTGCTGACTTGGGTGCCCCGCTATGCAGCTGAGCAGAGCAACAGGTTCAAGATTGGCCATGACGGCCGCACTCCAGAGAAACGCAGAACAGGGAAACGATGGCTGAAGCCGATGCCTCTTTTTGGAGAACGCATCATGGTGAAGCCGGTTGGCAAGGGTCGCAAGGGTGATCTTTCCAAGATGAAATCTGGCAGGTTCCTGGGGTGCCACAACCGCTTTGGGAGCGTCTTGGCCATGACGGAGCAGGGCGTCATCGTGGGGAGCTCATACCATTCTCTGCCCGAGGAGGAGAAGTGGATTCAACTTGAAGATGGGTTGAAAGGAGCCCCATGGGATGTCCAAGCCTATGTGAGGAGAGTGGTGGAGGAGCCGCCACAACCTTTGGGGTTGCCAGCAGCTGTGCCGGTGGTTGTACCGGCAGCGGCGGCACAGGCACCCGCGGCACTACATGCTGAACAAGGAGAACTTCCTGGAGGAGACCTACGGCCTGGAGGAGAGGACGCAGGTGGTGAGGGCGCTCCACTTTTGGGTGGACCGAGCATCAGTGCTCAGGCGCCGGCAGGGCAGAAGAGGGCTTGGCCGGTGAGGCGCGAGCACATCAACAAGTTCGGCAAGACAGCTGAGTGCCCAGGGTGCACATCGCTGATGAAGGGCGTTGGGTACCAACAGATCGCCCACAGCGAGACATGCAGAATGAGGATCAAGAGGTGCATTGAGGAGCAGCAGAAGACTTCGGAGGAGTCAGCAAAGAGGCAAAGAGAACAAGATGATAAGATTGAGGCTGAGGTGAGGATGCGGCTTGAGGAGAGTGCAGAAGCCCCACAACAGCCACAGCAGTCAGGACCTTCTTCGAGCTCGAGGCCGAGTGCAGAGGAGCTACAGCAGGGAGGAGGTGAGGCTGCAGAAGATGAAGTGATTGGGGAGAGCCCCAAGAGGAAAGGAGGAGAACAGGGGGTTCTCGATGTGGAAGACCTTGAGAGGCAGGTCGAGGCAGAAGTCCAGGAGAGCATCCGAGATGAGGCTGTAGGAGCCATGGAGAAGATCATCGGAAGCCGAGAGGCGGCGCAGATCATCATGGATCTTGGTGCGATGGATGTCATCGAGGTGTTCTCACCCCAGAGGGTGAATCAAGAGGTCGAGCGCTTCGGCATGAGGAGAGGAGCGGCAATCGACTTGGATGAGATGAAGCCCGACGGCAGTGGCCATTGGGACTTGGACAAGCCCGACGACTACAGAGAGGTCCTGAAGATGATCATTCAGGAGCAACCTTTGTTGGTGACGAGCAGTCCGCCGTGCACCACATTTTGCCCACTGAGGAGGTTGAGCAATCACAAACGTGATGCAGAAGTTGTTGCAGCAGAAGAAGAACTTGGAAAGGAGAGGTTGAGAAAGGCCTTGAAGGCCTGTGTGCTTCAGGCGAGCACGGGCAACTACTTCCTGCACGAGCACCCCAAAGATTCTTGGAGCTGGAAAATGCCTGAGGTGAAAGAGCTTGTGGACAGCGGCAAGTACTACCTGGTCCAGAGCCCTATGTGTCGGTTTGGCATGAAGCTCAAGGACGACAATGGGGAGGAGCAATATGTGAGGAAGGAAACGTTGTGGCTCACAAACAGTGAGGCCATTGCAAATGAGCTCAAAGGAGTATGCGACAACGTTTTACATGGGCAGGAGATTCATCGGCATGTGAAGCTGATTGGAGGGCAACGTGCAAAGGCCGCACAAGTGTATCCAAAGGCTTTGGTGGAAGCCATACTTCGTGGTCTTCAGAAGGAGGTGAGAAGGGCCAAGAAGATCAGCATGGTTGAGGAGATGATTTCGGGCCCATCGCCTGATGATGCAGTCGAATGGGACATGGAGATTGAGGGGGCAGAGCCAATCATCGATGATGCCTCGGGAGCCATTTTGGACCCAGAGGCAGTGAAGAAAGCCAGAGAGGAGGAGGAGCTCAAGTGGATCAGAGGAGAACAGGTCTACGAGCGAGTTCCTGCAGAGCTTGCACAAGGGCATCAACTACTTCGAGTCAAGTGGGTGGACATCAACAAGGGCGATGCCGAGCATGTCCGCATCAGATCGAGGTTGGTGGCCCGGGAGATCAAAAGAGCAAAGCCCAAAGAGATGCAGTTGGGTGGGAGTGACACATTCAGCAGCACTCCGCCGATTGAGGCCGTCTATGCTTTGATGAGCTGCTTCATGACCCGAGCACCTGGTGATCGACGCAAGAAGATGGCAAACTGGGACATCTCTCGAGCCCACTTCATGGGGACAGCCGAGAGGGAGCTGTACCTGGAGTTGCCTGAGGAGGATCGAGTTCATCCAGGTGATCAAGGACCTATGGTGGGTCGTTTGAAACGGTCGCTCTACGGCACGCAGGATGCCGCCAAGATCTTCCAGACCGACTATGAGGGATGGTTGAAGAAACATGGAGCACAGTTTTCCAAGGTGTGCCCATCCATTTTCATCATCGAGCAGCAGGGCTTGATTGGAGTTGTTCATGGTGACGATTTCCTGGTCGTGGGAGAGGAGAATGGTCTGAAGTGGATGGACCAGCAGCTGAATGCCCGCTATACAGCAAGGTGGGAGGCAACATTGGGAGATGGGGAGAACGATCAACGCGAGATGTTCTTCCTCAACAGGCTGATTCGCTACGTTCCAGATGGAGCGGGACAAGGAGAATGTCGCTTGGAGATCGAGGCTGACGCCAGGCACTCCGAGATTTTGGTCAAGGAGTTCGGGTTCAAGCCTGATTCAAAAGGGTGCGACGTCCCAGAGGACAAGATGACAGAGAAGGACTTGATCGAGGCGGAGAGGGAGGCCACTTTGGAGCAGTCCCAGATTACGCAGTTCAGGTCAATGGTGATGAGGCTGGCCTATATGAGCATCGACAGGCCAGACCTGTGCCACTCAGTCAGAACTTTGGCATCAGCTATGGTGGCACCGAAACTTTCAGATTGGATGCGCTTGAAGAAGGTGGCGCGCTATCTCCTGAAGTTCCCCTACCTGAAGAGGGTCTTTAAGCTCCAGTCCAATGAGGAGATCAACGTGACTGTCTTCACGGACTCGGACTGGGCTGGGAATCCGAAGACCAGGAGGTCTATGTCTGGAGCGGTGGTCAAGCTTGGATCACACACCATCCAGATCAAAGCGGCGAGCCAAAAGGTCGTGGCGCTCAGCAGCATGGAAGCTGAGTACTATGGGATGTGCCGTGGTGCAACGCAGGCCGTCTTCATCCACCACGTCTTGGAGTTTTGGCAGCTGAATCCTGGCAAGATGATCCTCAAGGTGGATTCGTCGAGTGCCAAAGCCCTGGTGGAACGGCGTGGCGTTGGCAAGACTCGCCACGTGCAAGCACGTTTCCTGTGGTTGCAGGATTTGATCTTTGCCAAGCAGATGATCGTGCAGAAGGTGAACGGCAAGGTCAACGACGCAGATCTTGTAACAAAGACTCAGCCGAAGGCCATGATCAAAGATCACTTGGCGAGGCTGAATTTCTTGGTATGTGGTAGAGAAGGCCATAAGAGGTTAACATGACCCTGGCCAGACTCCACTACCTGGGATTTTCCCCGGTGTTTGCGCCTTTGGACTTGCGCTCACACCGCAGGGGGTGCAGATTTCAGTTGGGTTACACACCCATAGCCATCTGGCACAAAAGCGAGCTGCGCACTGCAGCGTGGGAAGCCTATGGTATAGGCTGGGTTTGCAAATACACTATGCAATATATAACTATAATAGATATTATATCTACACATGTTTGCACAAATGATTACAATAGTATATATATATATGAATACTGTCATGTGCTGTCCATTTCCTTTCCATTTCGTTTCTGCAAATGGGCTGAGGTGTTTGCTGGTATCCGCAGTGCCTGAGATCTCTGCCAAGGAGGCACATCGGCCAGTAATTGGGATTGTGAACATATAATCCATGTGCTGTGTGCCAGGGTATTCCAGCATTTGAACCTCCACCCATATGGCAGCAGAAGATCCGGAAGTGCCTTCTCTGAGACTGGGAACCTGGAGTCCCACTGAGTATGACATAGACTGTGTGTGTGCGTGTGTGTTTGCCAGGATCCCTTGGGACAGTCTTGGGATGGTGAATTCATGTGAATTCCAGGATTCATGGGTAAGTCACCCAAGTCGTCCCTGCACCTCTTCAATCCTGCAGCAGGCGAATGCCGAATCAGATGAGCAGCTCAAACAGAAGTTGTCGCGCTGGTTTTCGGGCCTGAACCAGGCAGAGTGTGGCCTGGGCAAACAAGACCAGCTCAACATTCAAAGTCGAGGCGCATGTGATATTATATATAATATTATATATATATATAATAACTATTTATAGAATATGTACATATAGATAATCGATAATATATGAGAATATACATATCCACAGGTCCTCACAAGCTTTCAATATTGAGATCTGCAGTACCAGTACCCTGTTCTAAAGCGGAACCGTTGGACAAGAACCGCAGAAGAATTTTCCAGCGTACCCTGGGGTTCTTAAGTGCTATACGTGAAAAAATATGGTGCTTGTGAGCGAGGGCACCCTCAAGTTCTTAAGGGATAAGTTCTTAATCATTAGGTCGGGTAAGCCATTCCAAAACGTTCAAAAATTATCGGAAAATTTTCACAAACACGCGCCATTTATTTGCCATTTCTCAGTTTTCTCGTTGGTGATCTCCCCCCGGTTGTGTCTCCAAGGAACTCCACACAGGGCTGTTTCCCCCCGTTTGTGTTGGGTTCCGGGGCCAGAAATCCAGGGCTCTCTGCCCTATGAATGCCAGATGCGCCTTGGCTACATGGGTCGGTGTGTGAAGCTTCCTGTTCACGTGTTTGTTTTGCTCATTGCTCTACGCTTTCTTGGCCGTTCAGTCATACCATGCAATCTGGTTCAGCCCTGTGCCATCCAAGCGTATACCCCCAGCAACGTCAACAGTTGAGAACCGAAGACTTGTGGCGTGCCACTGAGGCGTGGCCTTGCAGGGAAGTCGCGGGCCAACCCAGTCATGGGAGCTACTGGACTGGCGTCCGAGAGAATCTGGATCGAATCCTGCGAGAGCGTGTGAGGTATCTTGGATCCTCCCACTGGTCTAGAATCAGGTCCGGTTCTGAAATGTTCTGAACCACTTCTCTGAGGCTGACCCCCAGCGGTTGCAGGGCTCGTTTGTGTCACTTCGAGCGCTTTTGGCACCTCCATGAGGGCATGGTAGGGCTCTCAAAATCTAAAGCCATCAGGGGCAAGCTGAGGTCAAGGGGACGCCCAGCCTGGGACCGAGGTGGTTCGCCTTCGAGGGCTTTTGGCAGCTCAACAGCTCAATGGCATGTCGTTGGCCTAGTGATGCAATTGCAGGACTAGGACTGCCATTTGGCGCGCTTGGCAAATCAACACCACACATTTCTGGTCGGAATGAAAGAAACAGGCACCATCGTCTATGCATATCATATTATACAGTACATGTGTGGCAATGTGTGGCATTGTGTGGTCCTATGCAGATGTGCCTTAGTTAATGTGTTGAACCGACAGTCGCACGAAATCACGCGTACATATATGCATTTTGCAAGGATGTACATTTAGGAGGGACAAAATTCCGCTCAATTGATCCCAATGAGTCATTCTGAGCCTATTCACAGAAAACACTGAGCCAACCTTTCCTTCATTCATCTTGATGTGACCCTTGAACACATTCCAATCTATATAAGTACAGAATCTCACAACAGGTTGGGTAATGTAGGACTGAACTCCGAAACAAATGATGAGATACGCTGGGATGACGTCTATTATAATATATAATCTATAGATTCTTTCATCTTGAACTGCATTTCCTCCCAACCTTACATTCACCTATAGTTTGTCCTGAGGAGCCCTGGCCGTTACATGCCGCCTCTCTTGAACAAATCGCCACATAGATTTACTCTACAGAACCATCATATGCAACATTATGCAACTATTATACAAGTGACTCAAGTGACTATATATAAGCATCATTGAGCATCACCGTTAAGAAACAGACAATAGATATTGCAGAAATCTGTAAACAGTGAAGACTTCCAAGCAGCGATCTGGATTCCCAGGCTTGGCGTGCTTGAGTCGTGGGTTCTAGCCTTAGGGTTGTGCGGAGCTTTTTGGATCATGACTTGGATCATGACTTGGATCCAGATTCTTGACGAGCATAGATATAGAATAAATATGGTAAAAGCGTGTCTATGTATATATACTGTATATGTATATATATATATATTATAAATGTATAGATGTACATATAAATGTACGTCTTCAACTTGCTGAGATCCAGAATTTTTCGGCTTGGAGATTATGCATAGACTTTCCAGAGTTCCGCAGGATGCCGCCTCTGGACGATGGAAGGCGGCAATGGCCACCACCCATCATTCGACATTTTTTGTTTGGTTGCGGAAGATTTCATGATGCCATAGGAGCCATAGGACTCTGACAGTCGTGGTGCTGACACTGGATTTTGGAATGGTATGGAAATGTATGGAATTGGATTTGGTCATCAAGCTCGGCAGATCAATGCGGCGACGCGCCGACTCGCCTCGGTCAGGTGAAACTGATGGCCGGAGAGGTGAAGTGTGGATGCTTAACCATCGGGCGACCGGGTAACTGATCCTACATTCCAAGAACTCCTGGCACATTCAATTACTCAGCTGCACAGTTCACAATCTGCTGGATGCTATGGGAATATACCCACCGGTGCATTGAGAAACATTATATATATTATATTATATACCTCATTGCCATGCCCGAAACTGATCTGTGAGTCGTCACGCAGTGTTTCCGCGACAACATTCTACAGTTTGATGATGTCGGAATCTGAAGCTTGGCATGTACATGTTTTGCGCATTTGGACTTGTTTAATCATGTTTCATCTCATTCAGTTGGATCCCGTTGGTTCTAAGTTACGATTGTGACGTTTCGTTTGATCTGAGATCGGTGAAGCCTGAGAACCTTTCAGCCGCTGAAGGCCGAAGGGTGTGGGATGCACGGGAACGATATTCATTTCATTTCCGGAGCTCCGAGGCAGTCACAGGTAGTCAAGTATTGATAGTATTGTCATGACTTCATGACCTGCAAAATTGGGGTGTTTCATGTTGCCAACTTTGTTTCATTTCTGGGATCGACATGGCCAACTTTGTGTGCCCATTGGGGCAATGTTGGGTCACCAGCTCCATCCCCAGGTGCCTCTTCGAGCCGTGGACGGAATGGCTCAAGTGCTGAAGCCCAGGTTAGGATGGATCTGCCGATGGGAGATTGATGGGGATTGCATGAGATTGTCCATTTTTCACATTTTTCATGGGGCCGCTGGGTTAGCGGTTAGCGGAGTGAATTGGGCGCTGGTTGCTTGGTTTGCAATTGTGGTTTTGACGACTTCGATTATGGATATTATGGTGCTTCATTGTGCTATGCTTCAGCATGTTTTGGAGCCAATTTCAGGATCATATTTTAAACCCATTTTTCTGCGCTTTGTGACTTTCCAACGCAGGACCCAGTGGTCTCTGGGGCGCGGGCTCCTGCAAGGGCCTGAGGATCTGTGGATGGGTGGGATATCTTTTGACATTTTCTGACATATTGCTACCAGAATAATAATCCTTCCCCACATTTAGTCCACACATCTTGGCCTGTCATTTTGGCCCTGTTTCTGGTATTACAAGTGGCCATTAATTTTGGAAGCAAGCCTGGTTGCCCCGGAGGACTTTTTAGATACTCAGCGGGTCTTCGGTGGCGCATCAGGTTGAATTGCACGTGAACATTCTGCAGCCCTATGCCCCGTATGCATGATTTGAAGTACACAAACACCACAAACGCATGTTCAACGAGACTTGCAAATCTCGAACCTTTGAACTGTCTCGACCTCACAGACGCATCGAAGCCTGGTCCCACCCATCTAGCTAACAACTGGTTAGATGATCAGATGATCAACACCATCTACAATTACAGTATACAATAGTATACACAGTAATCAAGAAATTCGCCCCCCGCGGTTCGAATCTACAAAAGCCTCGACGGCCTGCCTACAACGTGTGGGCCGTTCATGACGGCGTGCTGCTCTCTGCATACCAAGCATGGTTGCGAATGCAGATGTTGCGGAAGCGTCCATAGGCAGATTGTGGCCGATCAATTAGTAGGATTTTGATGAACAATTGCGGAGGTTTATTTGATACAGCCAATTCTGGGTGGACTTGACATCGGAATCCCCTCTCACTTGAAAAAGCAGGAACGTGTTCTGGGAGTATTTTGAGGTCTTAAACAGCGAGTAATTGAGGCCAGTGTCTCTTCGATGGATATCCGCGAAGCCAGAAGTACAGTCGTGCTGACATTTTTGGTGCTGCTTCCTACCCAGCACATACTGCCCCACAAATGTTGAGGTATATGTTGAAGTTATTCTTTAAACATCATCCTACTCAACTCTGCTTGCTCTGGGATTTGCATGGAGGCAGCTTGATGAACCTGGAAGACAGCATAGTCACTTGCCTGCATCAAATGAAGCATTCTTTTGACAGAAACTGCTGGTGGGCAACTGATAGCTGCGGGTGATGAAATGTGATGAGGTCTTGGGAATGCATGTGCTTTACATTTGAATCAGTTTGTCAGTTTGGTATAACTTGGTGATTTTTGTCTATTGTGCAAAAAACTATGCTGACCCATACTGTTTACAATCTGAGTTTTTTCCTTTGCAGCTGGTGATGCTTGTGTTGCGGACTTGCGCTCGAAGTCCCAGGGTTGGCTGGCCGAGGACCTATGGGAGAACTGCATTGATCGCAAATCTGTCAAGAAGCGTTCGCTTCTGACGACACTTCGGCTGTGGTAGTGGTGTAGTGGTAAGGCTCGTCGTAAGACTGTTGGACCTGTAGTGTTTTGTGATTTGTACATGGGGTGGTTGTTCAGCCAAGATTCCATCGGGAATTAGGTATCCATAGAAGAATCTTGTTCGGTCTCCGAATTATTTAACCCCTGAAGAGATAGAACAGTAAACAACCATAACAACTATCCAAAGCCGTTTTTTTCCTCCTTTGGACGTTTGACCATGTTTTACATACATACGTCTTACGACGTTTTTTTTTTAATTTTCTGCAGGATTTTGATGGAACTACCGCTGCAGCGTCCAAGGAAGCAGCTCTCCGGCTTCTCGCGGGCTGGAAGCTCCAGATCGCTGGAACCTCAAGGAGATCGGTATTGGAGAAATACGGATTCATATTAATGCTCATGTACAATCATGTAAAATCATGTAAAATCATGTAAAATCATGTAACATGTATAATCATCCATCCACCCAGGCATGAATGCATACATGCATGCATGCATGCATGCCATGCATGCATCCATTCATCCATTCATCCATTCATCCATGCATACATGCATACATGCATACATGCATACATGCATACATGCATACATGCATACATGCATACATGCATACATGCATACATGCATACATGCATACATGCATACATGCATACATGCATACATGCATACATACATATACATGCATACATGCATACCTACATACCTACATACCTACATACCTACCTACCTACATACTACCTACCTACGTACGTACGTACGTACGTACGTACGTACATACATCATCATACATCCATCCATCCATCCATCCATCCATCCATACATACATACATACATACTCATATTCCATAGTCCTCATGATATGTTATTATCGTCTATTCCGCTTATGATAGTTGCTTATGAAGATCTTTAGATCCAACTCTGCTGTATCATTATCAAATTGGTGAAAACACATGTGAATACATACATGTTGTACTTCTATATGATGCAGACGCTTGTTGCTAGGCCGAATTCAAAATCAAATTGGGTGGACATGATTGTGGTGTCCTTCCATGGAAGCAGATTTGAAAGATGCAAGATATTTTTGAATGGTGATAGCATCATCCATCCCGGGAGCATGTTCCAAAGTGTTTGCTGCCAGACAATTTGTCGAGGAAGTGAGGGCAAGACGCTTCAATTTTCCACACCATTGCGACTGAAAGAGATTGTCGTTGACGCAGGCTATAGAAGTCATTTTCTCCAGTTGTTGACCACTTATGGTTGTATCATATTATCATGTTGTATCCTTACCGGGCTGTCCTGAGACGAACCCACTGAGGTTGCACGTATCGAGATCAATTGGAAGATCCTTTGGAAGATCTGCGACCTTCGGATGGCTGGGGCAGGCCAAAACCTGCGGCACCGTATAATATAATATAATATATATATATATACATATATATAAAAAATATATATATATATATATTAGATACCTATATGTATATATGTATATATGCATATATGTATATATATATATATGTATATATGTATATATGTATATATGTATATATGTATATATGTATATATGTATATATGCAAATTTGGAAATATGCATATATATATATGTATATGTATGTATATATATATGTCTCGCACGGAAGGGATTCTGGACTCTGAAATTGCTGCGCGCCCAGGCGGGCGACACAACCTCGGGGATCATGATGGAAGCTGGATGGCACAAAGTGATCCCTGCAACGGTGAAACAGCATCTCTCAAATGGCTGTGACCGAGGGGTGTTGGCTTGAGTGGGATGGAGTACATTGATATGGTCATTTAAAATTCATGTGATGTTTTCGGGCCATTATGGCCATCATTTGTTCGTTCCCATTTTTGGGGAAGAAACCTCTTGTAGGGCCAGGGTTGTCTGCTGCACCTGTCCCAACTGAGGATTTCGTGAAGCGAGACCGGGCGCGCAGGAAATCAAACGATGAGAATGAAACCGCTCAGACTTTTGGCAGATGAGTTTTGGTAGCTGGACGCTTTTTGAGGATTGCATCATCACTCTTGTAACTCCACAGAAGAAGTGGAATATCACCTATAGATGAGATTTGTTGTGTATCCAGAGGGAAGGCATGTAATTTTTTTGGTATGACAAAGTGAGAAGCACAGTGCCATAGCGTGCCTCTGAACTTTCTAGCTTCTTCTGGATGTTTGCTCCACGGGTTGATCGTGATTTTGGTATCAACAATATTCAACAGTTATCAGTGGCTTTGATAACAAAAACGGTTGGTTGTGGGACAACTGCATTTGGACGTTCTGCTTTTTAGCAGCTATCAAATTACCGACACCATGCAATGAATCTGCACCAGCCTTTGCCCAGGAACTATTTGGAGCGAATTTTGACAAAGAGCAAAATCCATGAAGGTGGCTCATTCAGCCGCCTTCATACCACTTGGAGCGGGAAGTGTGAAGTACTGTCGTACTGTTACCAGTGTGAAGGGGTGTTGATCTCACAAAATGCAATGCTTTGGACCTGGAATTCCTCCGACGACTTTCCTGAGTTAACTGCAGCACCATCATTCAGTGCAGCATGTGTCGGCAACATGTGGCAACCTAGCCATGGCGCTTGGGTCAGGGGAAGGCATGCGGAGGATCGTCGGCGTGTTGCAATTCGAGCAGCTGAATGCCACTTGGCCCAGGGCGTGTTAGGTTTGGGGCCGGTGAGCCGGTGAGTGCCGCATCCTGAGGCAATGATGATGCACCATGTGGTGAAGGAATGCAAGGACATGGAACATGCGACCCTGTGCCTCTGCTCTTGATGGAACCCTCCATATCCTCTATGCGCTGCGCCGGCTGGGCCTTACCGATTGCCCTGATGTTTTAAGATCTTGGATCCGTTTTTATCTCATCGTTGAAATCTTTGTTTCGAAGTCGTCATGTTCATGACCAACTTTGGTAGCAGTCTATGTCATCTCAGAAGGTATCCAGGGCATGCCATGGCATCATGCACATTACTTAAATTGATGGGGCTAAAACGGACTAAGGGTACATTCAGAGCTTTGAGTGGGGACGGACCTGTTTCCACAATCTGATTTCCCGCAGGAGCGAGGGTTGTTCCCACAGACGCCCTGCAGTTCCTTCAAGCAGCAGTGCAAGACCATTCACCAACTGATGCCAGCCTCAACACAAAAGTGTCACTTTGTGGACTGGTTTTTTCTATCCTTTTCTAACAGGATAGTCAGGGACTCTTTGGGATACAATTTTCATGTTTATTTATGTCACATCATATGATCGAAAGAAGTTTAGAAGTCAAAATTTCCAATAATATGGACAGATGAAAAGCAGAGATGGGAAGAGTCAGAGAAGAGAAGAGAAGAGAAGAAGAAAGAAGATCAAAAAGAGAAAGAGTGAGAAGAAAGAAGATCCAGGTGCGCGAAAAGGTAGGAAAGTCGCGAAACACTGTGCTTTTCCAATGATTTGTGGCTCCGGAGGGTCGAAAAGTAGGCTCGGGCGGGTGCGGAGCCAGCTGGCCAGATGAGAGATTAAAAATTGCACGCCGTTGTTGCGCGAAGCACATTTCCAAGCCAAAATGTACAAAACACCTCAGCCCCGGAGCACTTTTGGAAGTTGAAATGTACAACACATTCCAGCTTCGGAGCACTTTTAGAAGTTGAGATGTCGAAAAAGTGCACGCCGTTGTGGCGCGAAGCACATTTCCAAGTCAAAATCTTACAAAACACCACATGTACACGCCACTTTTGACCCTTGAAGCGTCGTTTTGCGTGGCAGGCGCAAGGGATTGATTGGCTTGTTAAAAGTGAGCATGATGTGAGGGTTTTGTAGCATTTCCAAAAACGATGGCAGGCGTGGGACATTTGAAGTGGATTTGCCAAGATGCATTTTCCGTGGCAGGCGCAGTACAAGAGACATGCTCATCAGAGATGTTAGGAGGTCAGGGCGCTGATTTCCTGAGAGGGGATGCATTTTGGAGCATCAGATCTTCAGGTTTGCTGAGATGATTTTGCGTGACAGGCGCAGCACTTTGTATGACCTGGCATCACTTTTTCGTGGCAAGCGCAGTACTTTACATAAACTTTAGACAGGTGGAGTGGAAGAATCGCAAAACGCAATGGTACGAGGCCGTCAGCTCTGCACTCAACTTTCCATTCTTGAAGGAAGTCTCGCAGAATTGCTTCGTTTTTGGTGTTGTCAACTTCGAAAATTGAGGAAGTCTCGCAAAATAGCTGCGTTTTCAAGCTTGCAGATAGACAGATAATAGATAGATAGAAAGAAAGAAAGATAGATAGAAAGATAGATGGATAGATAGATAGATTAGGTAGATAGACAACAACAAGAAGAAGAAGAACAAGAACAAGAACAAGAACAACAACAACAACAGCAACAACAACAACAACAACAACAACTACTACTACTACTACGATTACTACTACGACGACGACTACGACGACGACGACTACTACTACGACGACTACTACGACTACTACTACGACTACTACTACGACGACGACGACTACTACTACTACGACTACTACTACTACGACTACTACTGCGATTACTACGACTACTGCGACTACGACGACGACGACGACGACGACGACTACTACTACTACTACTTCTACTAGTACTACTACTATTACAAGTACACTACTTTACACTGCACTACACTAATTACACATGCAACTACAACTACTACACTACATTACACAACACTGCACAACACTACACTACACTATATAATTACATTACATTACATTTTCAACGGCAACTGCAACTACAATGACAACCACCACTACATTGCACTACGCTACACCACACTAATGACAATACACTACAACTACAACTACACTACTTTACGCTACACTACACTAGACTACACTACACTATATCACACGACACTATATCACACTGCAGTACACTACAATACACTACAATATACTACACGAATTACACAACACCAAAATTACAACCGCAACTTCCACTGCAACTACACTACGCCAATTACAGCACATTAAGACTACAACTTACAACTACAACTCCGCTACACTACACTACATCTACAACTACAACTGCACTACACCACACTACATCCATCAGTTGTTGTGAGGCGACCACTGCAACCATTGCAACCACTTCAAAAAAGCACAACTCCAACCACCTTTCGGCCCATCAGTGGATTCGCTCTGCCATCCGTGATTCACAGCAACCAACCTCTCCTACAGGTTTCCTATTTTGAAACTTCCGCCATCGCCTTGTACGGTACTACTGGTATGCGCTATCACATTGCTGGCCAGGCCAGTGAATGTAAGGAAAGAGAATAGTTAGCCTGCCGCTGTGCTTATTTTCTCCGCTCAGGAAGCGTCTGACGCGTTTGATTGACACAGCCGTGCAGAACTGGCACTTGACATTCAGGCTGCCACAAGGGTCGTCTCAGACATCTCAGATCCCCTTTCCAGGTTGCGCTGGATAGCACATGTTATTTGAGATAGGTTCAGATGATTTGAGACTTGGGAGAGATGGAATTGTGGGGAGATTAGGGAGGCAGTCGGTTCCGTGCAATATTCATGCGTATTTGATGGGTATGGCCGAAATATGAAAATATATGAAAATATGACTAGTTATTTTACTATAGTACTATAGTCTTATAGTATTACCTAGCATTACTATAGTATGTACACCTGGTGCCTTGGATCCTCCGGATTTCATCAACGCTGAGGCTGTTGAACGCCCCAGCGCGTGCTCCCTTTGAGTCACCGGAGGAGAAGATCAACCGAATCCAAGAGAATCTCGACATGGAAAACGCCGTGGTTCGAGTTGGAGGGAGAAAGGACATTAAAATAGGCAAGGTATGGCAAGGTCACACATATTTCCAAATACAATAAGAACATATAAGAAATAAAATAAAGAATAAGATTGCATCTGCAGATATTTGTATGTTATCTTCTAAAGGGGATAACTCGTGCACGGGCCGAGGTTTTGGAGTGAAGGCCTTTGGCGGCCAACAGATCGGAGGCTCTCGGAGGCGCCCAAAATTCGCATGAGGCATGGTCACCCACCCATTTTCATAGGGGTTAATATGCCCATCGATTCGGAATCCCAAATGATGGTGATCCTACATACATCTACATGCCATGGAGGGTCGTTGGAATAGGGCACAAGGCTCGACAGGAGTCATGTTCGGAATTCTTTTTGGCAGTGGGATCTGTGGTCATCAAACAAATCCCCCTGAGCAGATGCACCAGGGCGTTGAAGACATCTCGGAACGACGGCCTCGCTACGACCTCCGCATGGACGTGAAAAACATCAAGGGACGTTGGGCCACGGCCAAGCCAGTGGGAACCCTTCCGCACCAACAGCATGAGACGCTTGGCACTCGGTCCTTTAGTAAATCCAGTGGTGGCTTGAATAATTTAGATTTGTCATGGTTTGTCCTCAGGCCTTAGGTTGTCAGAGCACTTTGAGTTGAATAATTTGGGGATGGGCAATGTCGTGATTTTTAGCATGCTGGGTACATCCCATCATTCCCGTTGTGTTGCATCAAAATCGACATGTTTATCCCAAACATTGTATACAATTCTGTGTGCACATGCTGGCTAAATATTTTTCTATACGTAAATTGAAATGTGGCATGCATGCATGCATGCATACATACATACATACATGCATGCATGCATGCATGCATGCACCCATTTACATTACATTGCATCGCATTGCGTTAGATTACATTGCACTACAATGCATTCCATTCAATTGCATTACCTTACAGTGCATACATAAAATTAGGTAACGTTAGATTACATGAAATTACATTAGATATATAGATTATATTACATTGCGTTAGATTACATGCATGCATACCTGCGTACAGAGAGACACACACACATATATATATATAGATAGATAGATAGATAGATGTGTGCGTACAGAGTTCATCATAGCCATGGACTTTCTATCGCCATGGCCATGTATTTCGTGTGTTGGTTTCATCCCTGTCCGCGAGGAAGCTGAAGATGCTCACCCAGGGCGGGCGTCCCGAAGACCTGGCGGGCGATGGGCGCTTCCCACCAGAGGTACCTTGCGTCAGGGGATGGATGTGGGGAAAAAAACAGGAACCATGGGAAAATCATCAGAAAACCATGGGAAAATGCGTAGAATTCATTGACATTCTATTTGTAATGGTTTGTGAACAGGGAGAGCCTCTGGTTGTGTGGAAGCAATGGGGAGAAAAACGTGTGGCATTCCGATCAGTATGTCATGGCCTGCAAGATCCTTCAGGGTCGAAATCTTTCTGCATGGTACCATCGCATTGAAGGGCGAAAGATGTCACAAGAGAGGATTGTGCTTCGCCTTTGTACAAGTTACCGTATCTAAATTTATTACTTGATTCTATTTGTATCTAGTCAATCTGAAGAGTTGCTGGGTTCCTCGAGTAGCTTGCGGAGGTGTCTTGTGTAACCGGGAGGGTTGCTTCCCTGCTGTCCGACCTCAACAGGCCCACAAGGTCAAGAGCTTTGAACTGAGGTATCACTAGCATCACTAGCACCCCGACTCATGGAACCCATGGAACAAATGGCAATTCCCAACCGGAAATTCATGTAGAAGCACCGCTATTTGTGCTTCTCTGAACGTGGAGTTCGCAACATTTCCATTGCAGGAGATCAAAGATACGAATGTCACGGAGCTTCTGAGGCCAGTGAGACGAGGCGCTATACACTCCTTGTGTGTTGCAAGGGTTCTCCTTTAAAAAACCTGTTGGAGTCCCCCAGGCATTGATGGACAGTGTGGTCTTGACTCATTTTTCTCAAACTCAGCAAAGAAAACAGCAATCCTGAAGACCTTGCTATCTCTCCAGTGTTGACCAAGGAAAACCAGACCAGATTTGTAGTGAGTGCAATCAGGTGTCGGGGGTAGGCACATGATATTTCTACATATTTCTTTTGCCTTTGCAATGGTACGAATGGATACGAACGGATTGCGAGAGTGCCAGTGGTGCGTTTCACACCACTGGTTGCAATGAAAAGCCATGCTATAAACCTTTTGCGAGTTGCAGGATATGACCGGCTGCAGGTCGAAAGCTTTACTTTGATCAATGCCTGGAGAGACATGTGATCCCGAATCCGCTGATGTCCCTTGACTTGACGCGACCAGCAGTTGAGGAAAGATCCACCGGTGAATGAGAAAAGATGGAAACCTGGAAGATTCTACAAGCTGATGGCAATTCATGGCAATTCGCCCATGTGCAAACATAAAGTCCAAGCTGAGCAGCCCAGATGTGCAGGTATCACGGATATAAAGAGGCAGCTAAAGGCAGGGGGTTGTCCCCAAGAATGTCCGAAATGCCCGAAAAAGCACCCACCCCACTCTTAGCAGGTATTATAGGCATTGCATGGTCCTCAGCTCTTTCTTTAAGAAGATTAGATCGATCAGAACCCACAAGAAAACAGTTACCGTCGGAGCGGTTGGATTTCACTCGCCTTTGATTTAAGAAGGCGGTGTGTTAACATCCATTCATCCATGCACATCAACCGTGTAGATTTGGAAATCTCTGCGCATCCAGTGTGCGTGGACATCTGGGCTCACCCACAGGATTCTTGAGCGCACATCAAGAGCCAGCTGCTGCAAGCATCAGAGAAACACATCGGTGATTTCAACAGGGTAGCGGAGAAGTGGTCCCGTGGTCGATCCAGTGCATCAGGGGTGAGCTTCAGAAACAACAACAACAACAACAACAACAACAACAACAACAACAACAACAACAACAACAAGCAACAACAAGCAACAACAAGCAACAGCAGAGCCACAGCAGGTAAGCGTGTAGTACCATCAGGAAGCATCAACAAACATGGCAACAACGACAGGAGCAGAGGATCAGGTCAGGAGCATCCATCAATACAAGATCACACCACCAACATATGATGGTGACTATGCCATCTTTGAGGAGTGGAAATGCAAATTCACAGCATACATCGGCCTCACCAACTCCACCTTTCCAAGACTGTTGCGTCAGCCAGAAAATTCACAAGATCCCATCACAGATGCACTCCTCAGAACAGGATCTGACACCATCGAGGAAGGCGAATTGTGGGTCAGACTTGCCTGAGAACTTCAATTCATTTGGGTGAACATGACCAAGGGACCAGCAGCAACCGTGTGCAGGCGGCAAGGCATCATGGCCAACGGCTTTGAAACTTAAAAAAAACTGGTCACCAGGTTCTCCATCCCAGCTGGCGCCCGATCCATCAGGTACTTGACCAAACTCCTGAAGCCATCATTTGACGACAAAAAAATTGAAGAATAATTTGCAGCTTGGGAATTTGAGATCAACAGGTGTGAAAGAGACAGCAACACCATCCTACCAGACAACATCAAGATTGCAGCGCTTCTCAACGAAACTCGTGGAGCACTTCAGCAACATCTACAGCTTACAGCATCCAATGCAACTTCCTACCAACAGATCAGAGCCATCATTGCGGAATACTACGGAGCAGCGGCATCATTCACAAGAACCCAACAACTCAACAACCCATCCAACAAAGATGACAAAGGTCCAGCGCCAATGGACATCGGAGCAGCAACCTGGAAAGGAAAAGGCAAATCAAAGGGCAAGAAAGGATACCACAAACCAAAAAAATCAAGGCAGCAACACAAGGAAAAGGATGCAGCATCAAAGGAAATGAAAAACAACCGTACGGCCCCATCGGGCAAGTAAATCCGTTCAAAGGAGCACCAAAAGGTAACAGGGCAAAGGAATGCCATCAGCATACAACAAAGGAAAAGGAAAAGGAAAGACAGACACATGCTACAAGTGTGGCCAGCAGGGACACATCTCCAAATACGATATGGGAGATCTGTCCAGCCAGGATGATCCAACATCCAGTCCAACATACAACTGTTACAACGACCCACAACAACATGACCCATTGTGGTGGAATCAAGACATCACGCAACAAGGTTACGGACAACAACAGCTTGCTTTGCCACCGTCTCCGCAGCAACAGCCTACAGGAACAGCCCAAGCCATCAACGTCATGGAGGAGATCCTGATTGCGGCCATCGACTCCATTCAGAAAATTGGTGTTACAACAACAAACAGCTTTGAGGAGATCATGAATGACAGTGGAGCCGCGGCACATGTGTGCCCACCTTGGTTTGGAACACCGTTCCCACTTCACCACATGAATGAAGCACCAAGCCACAACTACGAACAGTGACAGACGGCAACATCTATGTCTATGGATATATGGATCCGCTTTGTCAACCGTCGTGGTCAACACATTGTCATCCCCTTCCACGTTTGTGATGTGAAACACCCCATGCTTTCAGCGACACGACTCATCCTTCAAGGCTTTCAAATCAACCTCAAAGACAACAGTACACTGATGCACCAGAAGTCATTTGAGAGCAACATCACCCAAAAGGAGATTACTCTACGTCCATCCCAAGCAAGCACGCATACCAACCGGACAAGTGGCAATGATTGCGCCAACAACGCTGACAAGCGCAGGGCCACAGCCCATGAGAGATGACAACACCGACATCTGGATGATAAACAACGCAGCTACATCGTGATCATGCGCATCCACCAGAGATTGAGGAGAGCTAAGTTCACACCATTCACACCATTCAACACAGAATGTCCCATCGACATTGAACAACCTGAGGACTACAGGAAAACAATCATCAGGAGACCAGGAAGCAAACAACAGAAATCACAGACACATTCAAGAACATCAATATTCAAGAACATCAACAAGAGACAACAGAACAGGATCCTTGAAGGACCTGCATGGATTGGTGAAACTTGGTTCAAGCCACAGCCAGGTTCATCACCAATCATCAGCACAGGCGCAACAGCATCAACACCGAAGCAGATCCAACAAGAGCACACAAGCACGACAAGGAGCCAATCAGCCAGAGCAGCGTCATCAGGAGCAACGGCACCAGCAACCGCTACAACAAAGATAGGGGTCCACACACCAATTAAGGACAAGCCATCATCATCACTGATGACAGCAACAGGAAAGCAACCAGCGCGATACAGCAACATCCCATCACCATCAGATGTTGACATGACATCTGATTACTGGATCAGAGAAGGAAGATTGTGGAAGCGTGTCCACATCATTCCACGAACTGTCCTCTACTGTCCAGAAGCATCTGACGGAGGACCACCTGAAAATCTGATACCAATGAGAATGACCATCAATGACCATCATTAAGCCTGAGGACGGAAGCAAGCCACGACACATCGACGATGAGTGGACAATAGAGCCGCAGCCACGACAAGTAACAGCATGGACAGGATCCACCAACTTTGAGGAGAAAGCAGCGTTCAAGGAGCACCTTGAATCAGATGATGAGGAGACAACACAAGCAACCAAAGCAAAAGCATTCACAATGCCGAAGCAGCCATCACAACAAGACGTGCAAGAACACAATCTCACTCACCTTCCGCGCCGCAGTTGGTGCCCCATCTGCGTACGAGGAAGAGGCCAAAGCACATCACACCAGAAGCAAACCAGCCGGAAGCCCATCATCCAGATCGACTTTGCCTATCTCAAAGGTTTTCAAGACACACCAGCAGTACCCATCTCGACGGCGATTGCCATCGAAACTGGACTTTGCATGGCAGCAATGCTTCCGACAAACAGCAACTGTTTGAATATGCATCCAACTGCATCAAGACTTTTATCTGCGAGATTGTGAGAGCAGAAGGCATCCTTCAATCAGACCACGGGCCCATCGCAAAGCATTGGCCCAGGATGTAGCAGCAGAGATCGGCACACTCAGCATCAGGCATGCACTGCATGCACCAGCATACAGCTCACAGAGCAAGGGCAACATCGAACGGTTGCATCAGACACCCTTTGGACAAGTACGCATCCGAGAGATGATTAGGCAGACATACAACGTCAGCCTGAGCATGAACCATCGTGTCACATGATGGTTGATTAGACGCAGTGCACACTTGATCAACACAAATCTTGTACACTCGTATGGGCACACCAGCTATTTTCTTAGATGGCAGTGTGACAACAAGTTACCCATCTGGGAATTCGGCGAAACCATCCTCTACATGATCCCAGGAGCAGTCAAGCATCAACCCAAGCTGGAAAACAGATTCTCCCCAGGGATCTGGCTGGGTAAAGACACCACCAGCGGAGAATCCTTCATTGGCATCGCCGGAAGAATCGTCAATGCAAGAACCATCAAGCGACAAGCAGCACCATAGAAGCACATCATCAGCAGCACATGATAGGCAGATATAGGCAGCAAAACCAGCAACTTACACGCCAAATGTCATCATTCCGTCACCACCTCCGGAAAGCAAGCCGGAGGCAGCAGACAAGAGCACGGGAGCATCGGGTGACACACCGGGTATTCTCGATCAAAGCAACGCAGACACATCAACACCAGAGAAGAAGCAGAGAACTGAAGCACGAGACGCATCGAGCAGTCAGCTGCAGCAGCCACCAACAAGTGCACCAACAGCATTCGCAGCTGCATGTGCACCAGCCCGTTCGTCTCTAGGAGGCGGAGCAGCATCGTCTCCCACCCGTCGATCATATGATGACAGCATCACCGAAAGCAGTCAAAAGAAACAACAGAAGCAAACAACAGGACAACAAGCAGGAACCCGACCGGAGGAGCCAAGAGAACCTCCGAGAACAAAGACTCGAATCAACGCAGTGACCGTTCATCTCAAGAACGGAAAGCCCATCACCACAGCGACGTGTGAAGATCGCAATGATCGAGCAACGATTACCCATCATCAGGGACTTTCAGGGATTTGATCTCGAAAAGATGATGAAGGGCATGATGAAAAAAATGGCATCAATGGTAATCAAGGCGTTTTCAAGGAGATCACATGGGAAGAAGCAACGCCGGAAGAAAGACAAAACATCATTGGATCAAAATGGGTTCATCGTGACAAAGGAGAAGAAGTCAGGAGTCGCATCGTTGGACTCGAAGTTGATGAACGAATCACCGATGAAAATGACATCTATGCATCAACAATATCAACACAACTTTTGGCAATTTGGAGAATCATCCTGGCAATTGTACTTGCGATGGGTTGGCTCGTGAAGGTCGGAGACACCAGTGTAGCTTTTCTACATGCGGCCGTTGAAGCAGCACCCGGCATCTTGCTACGACCACCGAAGGGGTTCTATCTATCCCGGAGGAAACACCTTCTGAAGACTTAATTAAGAAGGCCATGTATGGTCTTCGATCACCACCAAAGGCATCGCAGGACCACCTGATGAACACCCTGCAACAACTTGGCTATGTTAGACCATCTCAGAGGCCAACGTGTATAAGCACCCAGCAGGCATTGCCTACATCATGGTGTATGTCGACGACCTTCTATTTGTTGGCGAGCCATCGGAAGCGAACCACACCTTTGCGGAGATCCAGAAGCATCCAATTTTGAGGAAAACAGGCATCGCTGAACCCGGCAAGACCACCTCTTTTCTCGGAAGGAAGATCACCAACAGTGGAAGTCACTTTGACATCATACTGGGAGACTCGTACGTGCAGAACATCTTGTATGAAGCAGAACTCAGCAAGTGTAACCCAGCACCAACACTAGGCACATCAGCAACCAAATCAACCATCGAGGATGAGGAGCTTCTCATCGACATCAAAGGAGAATTGACTGAAGTCTTCTCCAACAAGAGGCGGGCATCACAGACCTTATGGGACTATCACATCCAATTCCAGGTTGATTTAGCTTTGGCATCTGACATGTGCCAGAGCTAAGCCGGCCAATTCTTGCATTCATTTTCGTGGTCATCCTGATCACCCATCCTACATCAGAGGCTACATCCAAGAGCTCGGTGAGAAGCATCGCCCAACAGATGCATTTGACCATGCCTTCCATCAAAACATCTTGGAACTGATCAGGCTGATGAGGATGAAGGTATGGAAGACATCTCCAAGTGAAGATGAAGAGGATGACATCATCGAGATTTTCAAGATCATGCATCGCTACTGAGAGTTGGAGGCATCGGGAATTAATCGTTCAGGACATCTAAATACAGTACTACTGACACTGGATTCCTGCTGTTCATTTTGCATCCTTTCAGTATCTTAGACATCTAATGCGGTTAAAATTTGTTAGCATCTAAGTAGTGTTTGTAGTTTGTGCATCTGGTACAGCTGTATCATCATGTCAGTTGTGATCATCGTGCTTCACATCACGTGACCCAGGAGGCGTGTTAGCATACATGCATCCATGCACATCATCATTGTATATTTGGAAAATTTCGCACATCCAGTGTGCGTGGACATATGGGCTCACCCACAGGACCCGTTGGCGCATCGCTGCAAAACCATCAAGAGCCAGCTGCTGCAAGCATCAGAGAAACACATCAGTGATGTCAACACGGTGGAGAGAGAGAGGGGGAGGGGAGAGAGAGAGAGAGAGAGCGAGGGAGGGAGGGAGCGAGGGAGGGAGGGAGCGGGAGCGAGAGCGAGAGCGAGAGCGAGAGGGAGAGCGAGAGGGAGAGCGAGAGCGAGAGCGAGAGCAAGAGCGAGAGCGAGAGCGAGAGCGAGAGGGAGGGGGAGAGGGAGGGGGAGAGGGAGAGGGAGAGGGAGAGGGAGGGGGGGAGAGGGAGAGAGGGAGAGAGATATAGAGATATAGAGATATAGAGATATAGAGATATAGAGATATAGAGATATAGAGATATAGAGATATAGAGATATAGAGATATAGAGGTATAGAGATATAGAGATATAGAGGTATAGAGATATAGAGATATAGAGATATAAAGATATAGAGATATACGTAGAGATATAGAGACAGAGAGAGAGAGAAACAATGGCAAGGAGCCAGTAAACATACATGCATACTACAGACGCACAGAGAGAGATATGTGTTGAAAACCAAATGTTGTAGACATTATGAAACACAGGATTGTATAACTTAACTTAACAGAACATTATATATATATACAATAGTAGTAGTAGTAATAATATATATATATATATGTATGATATGAAAATAAAATAGAATGACATAAAGTAGAATATAAAAATATAATGTAATTTTGTACTAGTAGTAATAACAAGAACCATAATAACAAGAATAAACATAATAAACATCAGTAATAATGATAATGGCACGAATAGTCATAAATGTTAATAACAACAATAAAGACAATAAAAACCGTAATCATTTTAATAATGATGACAATAAAGGTAGTTATATATTTATATATACAATAATATATATATATATATATTTGTTTATTTACATGCGCACACACACGCATATATATATACATATACACATGTACGTGAGTGAAATATGCCAGCAACAGCTGGGAGTTTTTGCGTGTAGAGTCGTAGGATGTCGTATATGACTCAACATGCCCTATTCCCGTAGAGGAGTCCCAAAAAATGGTACGGTTTCCGAAGTTCAGCAAGCATCGCCAGTGCGTTTCCAGCTGAGGTTCATGACTGGGCACAGTCATGAACTCAAGTCCAACGGCCAGATCTTCACCGACGCCGAAATGCTGGCAGCCACTCAGCACTGGAAAGACATCAGGCAATGGAGCAATGTGGCAAACTAAAACCAATAACTAGTCAACAGAATCAACAATCATCAACATTCATCAACCATCCCAATCATCAGCAATGGATGGTAGGAACCCTTCAAAACTTTAGGTTTATTGTGGGGTTTGCCACTCCAATGAAATTTATTGGCCATCACTCCAGCATTTTTTTTCCGATCCATCCATCCACGTATTTGTCTGTTCGATGTTTGCGGCGTTTGCGTATGGAAGAGAAGTATGTTGACAGGAATGTGGGATATTATGGGATATATATATTTATATATATGTGCATATATTATGTATTGATGATATTTATGGGATTACATGGTATGTAGATGCTTCGCTTCAAAATATTATTTTCTAACAGCATAGGTACGCGGTGGGATCCCATTAGCTTCGGCAAATGGATAAGGATGCAAGAAATGAATTACAATGAAATTCAACATAGATGCAGAGAAATGGCGGAACATAAAGAAACAGAGTTCAGAATTGATTATTGTCTTGTAAAATCACTGTCAAACTCGATTTCATCAGTGCCCTTGGGCCATCTTGGGCCATTACATTGGCAGATTTGCTCAAGGCGCTTGCGTTACTCCGCGAAGAGTTTCCGGTGCACGAGTTGGACTTGGCTGAGAACGCGTTGCTCACAGACAAGACGCTTGGGAAACGACAGGCCTTGGGAATCTTCGCGGAGCCAACATTTTTCCTCACATGTTGATGTTGAACATATGGGGTGTAAATGGTGTAAGGTGGTGTAATATAGTATAAGCATGAGCGATTTTTTTTATGGCACTGAACACTGTATTGCATCAGGGTCTCATGATATCCCAGAGTGCACGCGATCACGCCCAGCTTGAACCAAGGAGCATGGTACCGCTGCTTGAGAAGCTCCTTGCCACATGAGTGTGGTCGTAGCGGTAGTGGTAGTGGTTGTTGTGGTTTCAGTTGCAGCAACAGCAGCAGCAGGAGAGAGGAGGAGGACGAGGAGGAGGAGGAGGAGTAGTAGTAGTTGTTGTATGTTGTTGATGTTGATGTTGATGTTGATTTTGTTGTTGTTGTTGTTGTTGTTGTCGGCGATGGTGGTAAGTTATACAAAACCATACAAAACCTTTGGGATACGTTTTGTCGCTGAATTGGCTGCAAGTTTTGCAATAAAGGACCCGTTTTGAAAGCAAAACCCATGGTTTCCAGCAGAATTGAATTTCCCCAAAATCATTGTTTCTGGGACAGCCCGAGCCAATTGGAGATCACCAATGGCCAAGGCTAAGCAATGCCTCCGTTTGCGCCAAGTTGCGTCATTTGAGCCTGGCAGGCTGCAGGTGCGATTGTCGTGGCCTGGGATGTGTCGGAGTGTCTAGGGGTGTAAGGTGATCCTCCAGTTGAGTCTTGGGCTCGTTTTTGCACAGCAAAATAGGTGTGACTCAGAATTTTAGGTCGCAAACCCACAGTTTTCTGTCTTTGGGTACTCCAAGTTTGAAACATACCATACACATATCACTCGTGTTGCTTCAGGCAAGTGGGCCGTGGTGGCTCTTGGGCAACTTGGCACCATGAGTCGGTCGAGTGCAATTCCTATCGCTCTGGCATGGTGCCGCAGAAAAGAACATAAGAACGGTCACGGTCACGGATCTCCAAGGCCTCCAAGGCAGGTCCACAGGGGCCTAGGCGGCCGATGTAAGCCCATGTAAGCCCCAAGGTGGTGCTTGTTTTCCACCTTGCTATGGGGCTTCGTAGGGGGCTGGCTGCCAATGGGGCTGGCTATGTTGACTCCAAGGCCTCGATCAATTTGATCTTGAGCGCCAAGACCCTGAGGTCACTGAAGCTGGGCTCAGGATTTGCAACTAGTTGTGACGGTTGTGGTGCTTGGGGCAGTTTTTGAGCAGAACCTGTCCAACCTGTATATTGTAGGATTGGAGGTGCGAAGTCTCCTGGACTCCAACCTGACCATGGAATCGATGTGTTCTGGTGTTCCCATTGTTTGAGGGGGACCTGCCCCAGGGAAGTGATAAGACGATCGAACAGCCTTGCTTGAAACGAACGTAGATCCAAATCCTCTTAGGAAAAGGGCCAGTGCAGCAACCTGCAGGGAATAGGCGGAATAGAACATCAATTGGCAAAGTCTATCCACAACATCCACATCTCTGGACCATCATGAAACTGCTGAAAATTGGCTCAAGCGAGGCGCACAACCGCTTCAGTAGCGGCTTGTGGATTTGTTTGGGCGCAATGAAAGGTGCTTTGACCCCTTCACTTTGCAATGGCGCATCTTCATCTGACCAGCGGGGAAGCATCCTGGAAAGGAATCAGGTCTGTGTCAAACTTGGGGCATCTCAGGGCCTAAGCCCTAAGCGATTCCCCCAAAAGAAATCCAAGGGGATCATCCAAACGGTGGCCTTGAAAAGAAAGCTCCGCTGAGATGAGCTGGTCGGCCTATACTGAAAGACAATCAAACAATCCGGAAGTTGTGTAAGCAAAATCAAGTGCGTTTTCAAGCGCGCCCTTTTTGCATGCTTTGCAGATCTTTGCAGCTTCTGCTTGTGCAAAATTTTCTCCTAACGGGAGTGCGCGATCATTCAATTCATACTCGCAGGTCTAAAGTCTAAAAGTCAGCCCAATTTCCTTAGCCGGACTACAACCTGGTATTTTCTTGGCTGGTGTATGTTTTAAGCATGGGGGCTCAACCCGAATCCCTGCATGAAGACCATTTAGATTGGATTTGGTGTGCCCACCTGAGCATGAGCACCGATCTTGAGTACAAAATACGCTGGGCAGCCACGGTCAGGGCCCTAAGCCCAGCCCAAGTTGAGAGATTTGAGAGCTAAACAATGCTCCGTTTGATGATTGACTAGGGTTGCTATGGGTTGCTGTGATAGTGGGTCTGGCTGCCGCATTACTGTGAGATTGGTCTGCGAATCTTTTTCATTTTGTTTCACTACCTTCGTAAAAACTACCAACACCCAACCATCGGTTTTCCTCTTAAACAAATCTTATATAAAATTATAAAATATACAATGTGTTTTGTTTTCACGGGGGCATGCAATTTTCGGTTGAAGCACCCTCTTCATGGCGGCGCGGCCTCCGCCCTTAGGCAGTCGCAATCGAAGTCCTCCAGACTCCACTCCAGCCGGTCAAGGAGACAAGGATCGGTCGGCAGATCAGTCCCTGAAACGCCGCGCCAATCTGAACGCCATTGTGAAGGGAATGTACATGTCTGGTTCCTTGGCTGATGAACTCTAACAGAACCCCCCAATAATTTGCCTCCAACGATAGGAATATATACTGTGTATATATATGTATATATATATACACACCTAGCGAACCTAGAACCCTGGAATTTGTAGGTCCAAAAATGAAAACCTGGTTTTGGGGGAGATTTCCAAAAAAGAAAATTAAAAAAAACACAGTTTTTATTTAAAGAACCCATCTTTTTTTTGCCCAGTTAGATGATGTTTACAAATATCTTCGCAAGGGAAAACGTCTACAAATTCCCATTGAGTGGCGCCACTTAATTCCGAAACCATGAACTCAATGGGAGTTAGGTTTCTATTCAATTGAATGGGATGAGGGACCAGAGCTACACATCCTAACATTTTCTCTTGGTTTTTGAATTATTGGGAACAACATATGTTTTTTTTTTTACCACTGGCGCACGAAAAGATAGGTTCTTTTAAAGAACCCGTATTTATCCCGTAGCGAACCGTCATTATCCCGTTGCGAACCCATATTTTGTTCAAACTGGGCAGAACCTATGTTTTCAAAACCCGTATTTAAACCGTAGTGAACCCGTCTTTAACCCGTAGTAAGCCGTAGTAAAAATACAGAACGGAAGGTTCTGGGCTCTGGTTCCTGGGTGCCCTGTGACAGGTGTTTAGGCCCGATTTGCAGGAAAAGCTGGATCCATGACTTGCTGCCTCAAAGCTGACGCCTCCAGCATTCCTTTCTCAACTTACAGGGATGTCAGGAATGATAAATGGCCTCTTGTGGGTTCCAGTGGATATGATGGGGCAAGTGCAAAAGACGATGAAATATCAGGGAGATAATAAAATAAGTTCTTTTTAAGAACCAGGTTTTTGTTGTAAAACCCCGGCTTTTTCACTGGCCCTACAATTTTGCAGGTCCCCGGTTCTCTTGGTATATATATATATGCTAGTATACATATATATATATATATATGTGTGTGTGTGGAACATCTGAACGGATGTAAAACCTCTATCTTTTTGTACTGTCAGTAGATGCAGGGGGCCACGGTTCCATTCATCAGTCCGTGGCCAACGAAGCTACTGATGTTTGGAGAGAATACGCAGTCTGATCAACTGCACGTACCTGCGAACCATTTTCTGTCACTGGGAATAAGCCAAGCATCATATTCTATGTCACGCACGTGTGCTGCAATCTGGTATTTATTCACTTGGAGATTAGCACGTTTGCCGCAATCTAATACAAGTTTCTTTATTGGTTTATTTTCATCTTTGAAGACTATTTGAACATTTTCAACACGTTTCCGGTCGGGTCTTGATTTTCGGAACTACATCCTATTGATTGCATACTACCTCCTGGAGATCCACCTTCCATCAATATTGTTTGATTGCACGTTGTGGGATTCAGTTCCCGACGGATCACTACAATGATCCAGTTCTGTTCTAGTTAGTGTGTGGGTTTCCATGGTGGCTCCGACATGGTGCAATGGACCCATTTGAGGGAACCCATCTGGGAGAATGTTGACGAACGGACCTCTGAATTTACACATTTTAATTTGGTAATTTGTCTACGTAAAGTGCAACAGTTGGCCTTGCTGTTACCAGCCTTTTCGTCTCGCTGATCCTGCCGCTTGTGTCACACCCCGGGACAATTCAACTCTGCTCGAGTGAAGCTGTACGGAACAGCCAGAAACAAGGTTTTCACAGAGAATGAGAGACAGTCCACCATCGATCATTACATTGCAGGCTGAGGCTTCATGCTTTCAAATGTGGTATACTTTCTTTTGATGGTTTTCTGGTGAGGTGGACCATATTGTGCACCCAATTCGTATGAATGAACTTGAACAGCTGTTTAATGCCCACTTGTGGGTGTGACCGACTACCGTCCCTTCGAGGGATTGACGCACGATCTTATTTCTAGGAACTGAATCCCATCAGAGTTTGACATTTCTTTTTTTCCTCGTGCATCACCTCGGATTCATCATGTGGCCGTGGAACCCGTCGACGTCGTGGCCTACACCCTCACCATCGAGCTGCCCGCCACCGCCTCCTTCGACTGCGTCACCTTGGACCACACAACATCTTCCCTCACATCACAGTTCACCACTTCTTGGCCAACCACCATCACTGACAATGCCACCGACTACCACTCTACCATTTTCCCAAAGCCCACCGGAGCATGCTTTCTGCACCCCACATATCTTCACCTACACTGGACCAATCGACAGTCAACGCCAACGTTCCCACCTCAGCCACCTACTCCTTCACGACCTTCGCCATTCCATTCAGACCCGATTGCGCCGCCGAGTACCTCTACTGCTGCTCCACATGCTCCTGACCTTTGGACCCACTCTGCGACCAACAACCCGCCGCCCACGGCACCTCCCTCTTAGTACCCCCATTCCCACATCAACGACTCCCTGAGGATTTCCTTAATTATTCGAACCAATTCAACCGGGTGTATATGCCGGCCTTCCTCAACACGCCCCACCTCCAACTATGACATCCACGACACCGGCTACTGTACAACACACCCACCGCAAGACACGTTGACCCCTACCGCCAAAAAAATCCCCACCTACAAAACCTCCTCCATCCAGAAGACCACTGACCAGGGCATCCACATCACGCTTCGAAGATCGACTCCAATGCCAATTTGGCTCGCAGATGGACCAATTCCAATCCAAGACCCAGAAGATGCTGGACAACATTACGAAGTCTTTTCAACAACTTCCGCTTCCTGCACAAGCTCCTCAACCTGTACCACAACCTGACCAACACCTCACAACTACCCGCAGCCGCTCCGCACATCAAGGACGCCCATCCAAGTCTCTTCCCATGCAGTCCACCTCCTCCTCCACTTCCAGCGAATGAACCTTCTCACCTACCTCAACGACGACCATCACCTCCCGCAACATCTCCACATTCCAAACTACGTCGCCGACGATCTCGACATCATTCCAGGGCCAAATATATATATATATATTATATTATATATATATCTCTCTCTCTCTCTCGCTCACCTGCACGACCTACGACTACTCGACCTCAACCTGCTCGCTCACCTCTTCCCCGACAACGTTCCGCACCTCACCATCCCAAAGCCCGACGGAATCCTTCACCTCAACGTCGCCGATCCCTTCGCCGAGACCGAACCCGACACGAAGACCAAAATCATCCCCTCCACCATCACTTTCCCCGGACCGGGTGGCACAAAGATCTCATGGGGGATCCACTGAAGACACTGACCAGGAAGGCGCTGCACCCATCCGAATTTCAGATTTTGAAAAGCCCACTAGCTGGCTCGTTGACTATAACAAGGATGCCGACAAGGACCCGAAGCACACCCGCCTCTGCCCGGGCCCAAACACTGGTAGGCTTTTGCCAGGCTGTTTCCTTTCGACTGTGGGCACAATGGGGTCTTGACATCCATGAGGACCGGTTGGAGATTCGCTATCAAGACTTGGATGGGGATACGTTCCCAGGTGAACCCCTCTAGCACTGTGATGGACCTCCTTGTGAGACCTATCGACCTGAGTGGCGTACCAAACAGTCGGATCATGTGCACCCATGCAGATCCTTCCTGCTGACGTTCGCCATCCTTTTATGCTGCGCCTTTCT